AGGTCCGATTGTCACGTCCTGGTATAGTGATCTTCGAGCCCGGCATTTTGCGAACTTAACCTCGCAACCTTGAAAATTCACGCCCCTTAAGCGCAAGCCACGAGCCCCTAACCCACCTATATATACACTATGTGTTTCTAAAGTCTCCTCGCCCTTAAGACCCGGCCTATAAACCTAATTGATTCCGAACGCTTGCACCTGGGGCCCCGGATCCGAGGCTCAACATATAGAGAACCATCGTGAACTGTCAGATCGGAAGCCCAAGCCAGATCCTACAGCCAACCCCTAGAAGCGATTCCAGAAGCACCGTACGTGTCTAGGTGTGCATTAAACTAACTTTAAAGGTGGGGTGGTTATAATTTATAATCGGTAGGGCCGACTCATTCACGGTGACTATATATAGGACCAACCTATAGGCTTTCACACCCGTCGGCAACCGCAATTTGCGCGATTCACTAGTCATGCAAAGCCCCGCAATTCCAGGAGCCTTTCCAAGCAGCCTTTCACTCTAAGACGGCCCCTACGGTCGATTCCAGCAAGACAGATTACGAGCTATTTCTGCAACACTACATGTCGGAGACCGGCTTTGTAATTGGAGATATATGGGATGATGCTACTTGGCTCCGATATTGAGCATAGTCTAAGTATATAGATAGACAAGCCGGAATTCACACGTGAATTTAGGCCGAAATGCCGAGAATCATCACCTACCTCAACTCGAAGCACCTGAAGCCGCCTGGCCTCTGGGACACCTGGCACGCAGAGATGAAGACTGCATGGGGCAAATTATTGCCGTATAGTCTATCTATGGCACCTAAGGACCGAGCCCTGCAGAAGATCGGGCTACTGTAGCCCGTGTCCGTTCGAAGTCAATTTATAGCTGTGCCTTTAGGCGCATATGCTATAGTGCTGCTGGGGTTTGCATCCATGCATTAACTGTGCTCCAGTGCTTTAAGCTGCTGTGAGTCGTGAAATCACAATCAGCGGGCGTTCGCGTGAAAAAGCGTTACTTGACCGTGAAAGGTTGTTACTTGACCACCCCACGCCGTGAAATCTGTGATTCACGTATTCCACAATTAAGCACACCTTGCAATGCTCATGATGCTCGCAAACGTGAAATCAAGGTTTTCCCTGCTGAAAGCTTGATCATAAGCTTTCGTTTCACGGCCATGCCGCCAAAGAAGAATAACCTGAGCCCCGAGAACAAGGCTGAGTACGACAAGGTCATGCGAAGCCTCCAAGCAAGCGGAGCCCTGCAAGCTGAAAAGAAGAAGCCAGAGGCAGCAGCACCCCCAGAGACCCACAACAAACGCAAATCCGGTAAGCAGCCCGAAGCCACCGACGAGCAGCCGAAGAAGGCAAAGCGAGCCAAGCCAGCACCCACGGAGGTTGATGCCAAGGCTCCCGACCCTGAGCCAAAGGCCAAGGCCAAAAACAAGGGCGGTCGTCCACGCAAGGACAAGGATATCAATGCCGGGGAGGCCGGGCAACCGAAGGATCCTAAGAAGGCTGACAAGGAAAAGCAAACGAAAACTGCTCCCGAGGGCACGAAGGGTGGGAAGGCTAAGAAGCCTCCGGTGAAGGAAGATAAGAAGAAGGAGGAGGAGGAAGAGGAGACTGTCGAGGAGTTCTACGATAATGAGTTGGGCGTCATGGTCAGCTGGAAAAATTTTCCGGAGGTGGTCAAGAAGGTTCTCCAGGTGCATCCGACGGAAACGCCAGCAACTGTGGCCCAAGGGCTTACCGAATCGCTGGGTCCTTGTCCAGAGGAGCTCAAAGGCAACATCCCTGAGGAGGCTTCAGGTAGCGCAAGGCACCCAGGCCCGATTCTGGAAGATAAGAGCTTGCAGGAGAAAGGAGATGATAATGATGAGGATTTGGATGGAGAGGAAATGGAAGAGGAGGAGGAGGATGAGCAGGAGGAGGAAGATGAGCCAGCCCCGCCGCCGCCCAAGCCAGCCAGCAAAGCTAACCCAGAGCCAAAAGGCCCAACCAAGCCAAAGACCCCGCCGCCCACATCCGCCTCTCCAGAGATGATGAAGGTGATCCACTTAGCACTTTTATTGTTACGTGTACAATGCACAATAAATGCCAGATGCGTGCTTTGGTGCTGTGTGTGCAATCGAACACCCGCAGTGTTGTATCAGGTGACACCCAAGAATTTGGACAAGAGCTTGCAGGAAGCTGAGGATCCCAAAGAATCCTTCAGGCTGAAACGCATGGACTCCTTGATGCCACATGGCTACGTATAGTGACCATGTAACAATACAATCTGTTTTGTGCAGTCTTGTCCCCTTCCCCCCACCCTCCCACCTAAAGGCCCACCCCTATACACCCCAACCGCTTAGGTCCTGCAGGACTCTGCTTCGAGGCATCAACATGGCGAACAAAATGGCCGACTCAGGCCGAGTTGCCTCGCCTCAGCCCAGCAATGAGGAGAACATCGCTGATTTGCTTGAGGGGCGACTTTGTTGCACAACATTTTAAGCAGCTGGGGAGTGACACGCACACAAACACCGCGATCTTTGGTTAATTAAGGATGAGTGACTCCGCCTCACAAGTGGTGGTGGAGTCTGCGAGCAAGGGCCAGATGGCGACCATGCTTCAAGAGCTTATGGCAAAAAATGCTGAAATGAAGAAAGCCCTGGCGGCTGTGAAGCCCGGGCCGGCTGCTCCAGCGGCCACAAAGGCCAGGGCGGATCCGGAGGTCAAAG